AGGTGCTCACCCGGCACGGCAGCTTCGGTATGTAGGTAGGTTCCTGTTTCAGGTTCGGCAAGAGGAAACGCAAGATTGACATCACTGTGAGGACCACCCAGAAGACACGGTGCGGAGAGAGAGGAACTGGCTCCCCGCAAAGAAGGCGCATCGCTTTAGGGAACTATCCTTCTCCTCACGCCCCAGCCGCCGCAGTAGGCAATCGGAGATAGAGGGATTTCCGACCATCGAAACCGCAGGTCTGCGGACTTCAGAATTAGGAAATAATTCCATTATTTAAATCAGGTAGTACTTCTGACCCCACTAACTTTAGACCTATTTCAGTGCTACCTACGTTCAGTAAAATTTTTGAAAAAATTATTTTAGATCAAATGCAAAGATTTTTTAATAGAAATAAATTATTACATGCGAAACAGTTCGGATTTACAAGGGGTCGTTCAACAAGTGATGCCGGTGTTGAACTTCTTAATCACATTTACGACGCGTGGGAGGACTCAAGCGACGCTTTGGGAATATTTTGTGATTTATCCAAGGCGTTCGATTGTGTGCTTCATGATACACTGATCAGGAAGCTATCCCATTACGGAATAAGAGGTGCATCTCTGGACCTTCTTACCTCATACCTGAGTAATAGGGTTCAGAGAGTTGAAGTAAACGGAGTGGTTTCTGCCGGGTCTGTTGTGAAGATGGGTGTTCCGCAGGGTTCTATTCTCGGCCCGTTTTTATTTCTTATCTATATTAATGACTTGCCTTACCTTGTAAGGGATAAACACGAGATAGTGCTGTTTGCTGATGATACCTCACTATTATTCAAACTCAGACGACGACAATTAGTTATTGACAATGTAAACAGTGCTCTCTCAGAAATAGTTCACTGGTTTGGTGTTAATAACTTATTACTAAACGAAACTAAAACTAAATGTATTAAATTCACAACACCAAATGTTAAACAGGTAAAAACCAGTGTGCTTGTCAAGGGCGAGGAGTTGAGTCCTGTAGATACAACTGTCTTTTTAGGTATAACCCTGGACGCTAAGCTCCAATGGGGCCCTCATATAGATGGCTTGTCGAAGAAGCTCAGTTCTGCCGCATATGCCGTTAAAAAAATTAGAAATTTAACAGATGTAGATACAGCGCGGTTAGTTTATTTTAGTTATTTCCACAGCATCATGTCATACGGTATTTTGTTGTGGGGGAATGCTGCTGACATTCAGTCTATTTTTGTTCTGCAGAAAAGGGCTATTCGATCAATCTATAATCTTAGTCCGAGGCATTCGCTCAGAGAATTATTTAAGGAAACTAAGATAATGACGGTTGCCTCACAATATATTTATGAAAATGTAATTCACGCTCATAAAAACAAAAGCTTATTTAAGAAGCATAGTGATATACATAATATTAACACGAGGGGGAAAAACAAATATGTTGTCCCGGCCTCCAGGCTTCAGAAAATAACTAGTTCGTTTAGATGTCAATGTATACGCTTTTACAATAAAATTCCTAGCGATATTCAAAATTTGAGCCTCAATAAATTTAAAAGTGTAATAAAGGCTAAACTTTGCTGTAAAGCATTTTATAAAATAAAAGACTACTTAGAGGATAGTCAGGCATGGGAATGAGCCGCTGTAATGTCTGCACAGGTCATGTTGACATGTTTGTAACATAAGTTACAATTTTATATACAATTTGACATTACGTTTATTTTTTATACAATGACATAATCACCTATTGTGACATTTTATTTTATATTTGACATTTTTTTTTATTTATTTATTGACATTTTTATTATTTTATATTATTGTTAGTGTAAGGACCGTGTGAGACTTGCCGTGCTTTTTGATTACCAGTTATCTGCGTTCTGACAGTTTGAGTACTTGCGCGACCCACCCAAATGTTCTTTAGATGTGTCCGTTACCCAGGCCAGATGTTGTCGATAATGGTCATTTGAATCTTATAGATAATTAGTTGTGCGGCTTCTGTAATTGTTGCGCACATTTTTAAATTTGTTGCGCTTATAGTTTTTTAATTATTTCACAAAAACATTTCCTGCTGGCGTAACGTTACCACAGCCAGACCTTTTTCTTTTTAATAGGAATATTTAAATAAATATTAGCTATAAAATTAGTTGTCTAGATATAGTAAATGTTGTGCCTTATTTTGTATTTGTTCTTTCTTCGGTTGCGAAGTTATTCGAGATTTTGCTGCGGTAACGTTTTTGGTTTTGCTAGATCTTTGAAATGGTTAAGCGGATTCTTATCATATTTTGTACACGACTTCCGAGGACTTAGTTTAAATTCGTTGTGCAATAACAAAACCAAAATAATGCATATTTTAAAGGTTTTTTCATTAAATAGAAAAACACTTCAATTGGCCCCAGCACTCTAAATAAGAAGTCTAAAGACTTACTTTAAACGTAATTTTAAAGCTTGTAACTGCCTTCAAATGTATGTGAAGTTTCATTAGTATCCCGTAAGTATTTAACAAGTTATGATGATATTCAGTTCTTCACGAGCACGGTCTTAATGCACGCGGTGTTATTTGGCCACTGGATTGGATATATGAACTGAATGTTATGTCAATAATTAGTTGTTTAGATCAGTTGTATATCAGTAAAATTTCAGCTCAATACATTGGATAATTAATGAGATAATACTATTAAAGTCATTAGGAAGCGAATGACCGTGGTAAGCCGACCAAGTTTAGGTGGTTACGAAAAAGCGAAAACGCAGAACATTATGGTACCTTCTAAAATATGTAGGATAGTGTTATAAATTTAGTACAGACATGTACAAAAGTTTAAAAAAAACTACATGATTATTCAAGATTTTTTACTGAAAGGTAAAATAATCATTTCAATTGAACTTTTACTCCCTTACTTATAAAAACTTAGCAACCGATTAAACATCACCCGTCCTTGTCATTTCTATTTCAAAATGCAGTTCAAAAATCATCTAAAAGGTTACAAAAGTAATCTTCTGGCAAGACTGAGTGCGTTATGCAAACAATGTATTACCCCTTCACCCCACTCCTCCCGCGTCCTACCGAACGGCATGCTTTAGCGGTGATTTTTGTAATTTTGTGGAACTGGAAGATAATGTTTTCTTTTATATTATTATTATATAGGTATTTAACAGTGTACGCGTCTGTACCAAAATTGTAAGGTGTATTATACTAAACATTTCAAAAGATAGTACAATGTTCTGCGTTTTCGCTTTTTCGCAACCACCTCAACTTGGTCGGCTTACCACGGTCATTCGCTTCCTAATGACTTTAATAGTATTATCTCATTAATTATCCAATGTATTGAGCTGAAATTTTACTGATATACAACTGATCTAAACAACTAATTATTGACATAACATACAGTTCATATATCCAATCCAGTGGCCAAATAACACCGCGTGCATTAAGACCGTGCTCGTGAAGAACTGAATATCATCATAACTTGTTAAATACTTACGGGATACTAATGAAACTTCACATACATTTGAAGGCAGTTACAAGCTTTAAAATTACGTTTAAAGTAAGTCTTTAGACTTCTTATTGAGAGTGCTGGGGCCAATTGAAGTGTTTTTCTATTTAATGAAAAAACCTTTAAAATATGCATTATTTTGGTTTTGTTATTGCACAACAAATTTAAACTAAGTCCTCGGAAGTCGTGTACAAAATATGATAAGAATCCGCTTAACCATTTCAAAGATCTAGCAAAACCAAAAACGTTACCGCAGCAAAATCTCGAATAACTTCGCAACCGAAGAAAGAACAAATACAAAATAAGGCACAACATTTACTTTATCTAGACAACTAATTTTATAGCTAATATTTATTTAAATATTCCCATTAAAAAGAAAAAGGTCTGGCTGTGGTAACGTTACGCCAGCAGGAAATGTTTTTGTGAAATAATTAAAAAACTATAAGCGCAACAAATTTAAAAATGTGCGCAACAATTACAGAAGCCGCACAACTAATTATCTATAAGATTCAAATGACCATTGTCGACAACATCTGGCCTGGGTAACGGACACTCTTTAGATCGGTATTGTTCGTCGGACAACTCAGCAGCACTAGCTATACTGGTTGCAAACTGACACTTGCGTGCCTGTCTTCAGAACGGGTCCACTTAAACTGGTGTGGTTCTTTCCTCAAAAGACCACTACAGAATGAACTTGCACGATTCTCTCACATTATGTTATTTTTACATTGTCTGGACTTGAAAAGAGACTGACCTCTGAGTTTTTTTTTTTTTTTTTTTTTTTAAAAAAACGTTGCCCCACACTAGGATTTTCTCCTGTGTCGTGGGTGCGTTTACAAACATACAATTTCACATGCACATCACACCCAGACCCGGAACAACAATCTGTGGATCACACAAAGAGTTGTTCCGTGCGGGAATCGAACCCGCGACACGTTGCGCGGCAGCCAGTTACCCAGCCACCGCGCCAACCGTGCAGGCAACCGTTTGTTTCGGCATTTCTTCTCAGAGTAGTCAGATAGGAAATGCCGGCTTCATCTAGTTTTTCACATATAAATTGACGTGTAAAAGTGCCGTTTTATGGCCTATTTGAAAAATAAATTCATTGTTTCATTGTTTCAGGATCGCTTTCCACCCGACCAGAACCAGAACCGAGAGTACCTACGGCGCGTAGGAACCTAGTGTTCCACGCGAGCCTCAGAGCCAATAGACCACCATAGATGGGTCCTTACAGGAGTTACAGGGCTGATGCCGATGATTTAGCCGGGGTTGCAGGGTAAGCGCAATGAGACACCGCGGCCTAGAACAGGTAGTTTTAGTTTTCACTAGGTAGGTAGAGTGAGTTTTTAGTAAAGCCTCGCCTCACCCTAGGCAGGAGAATCCACGGGTTTAGTCCCTTGTAATCTTAAGAAATATATGGCTGACGAAATTGATACCTGGAGAATAAGATTGCCTTTTTTATTCCATTTGCTGAAGTTTTCTAATCGATGTTAGCACTGATAATAAGTAGTAAAAGGTTCTTTAGAATTAAACACATGGTAATTTTAAAAAAAGCTTTATTTTTCTATATGTCTTATAATGCACAACTGTAAATGAAAATAAAATTGCTAACTAAAAACAAAACTTACCTGAGAAGAAAAGAACTTCGCAGATTGTTTAGACCCAGTTGCCCCCGAAGTTCATCATGAAAATAAAATTAAAAGATTAGAAATGAAAATTAAATAAGGTATACCCTACACAATTCATTTTCGTAATGGGAAAAAAACAAAAATAAATAAAAACAAATCTAGAAACAGGCAGCAGACATGAAGATTCAGATTGATGAAAATATACGTTGCAATTCTTTTGAGCTCTTCAAACTATTTTCCAACTTTTAGGTAAGGTAGCTAGAACTTATCTGTATTACCTATTTGTGCATGTTAGGCACCTACATTTCGTTAGTAATTAGAGGCAGAGTATAAATGAAATTCGTTTTAATCCCACCCAATTTCACTCGGAAGATTATTGAAATACATTTTCTGCGTGTTTTAGACTATTTAGGCTGCAGGACAAAATTATAAATTTATTATAAAGAAACTCAGCCCCAAACCAAACATGTACTAGGTGGGTACCGAAATAATTCAACTCCCCTTGAACAAGACTAGATTGTCATTCTAGATCACTCTCTAGGTCACAAGAAGATACTTCAATAAGACCGCGTGCCTGTTGGATTAAGAATTATTGACTTGTGTTCATGTTATTTGTTGAATGTTACCATGTTCAGGAGTTATCTTATAGGTAATTAATGCTTGTATAATATACCTTTCGGCATCAGTGATTAAACTTTAACTAAGTTATTGATAATCGATGGCAATTATTTAGTTGAATTTACAATGAAAGAACTTTATACATGTAGCGCAGATAAGTACTGCAATGTATATCATCACTAATAAGTATAATAAATAAGACATTCCTACCTATACATAAAATAATACTGAAAACTGACACCTGTAATTACTACATACCTTTCTAAATACCTTACCTAAGATTACGTACTTTCTTGCGTATAAAAATCCTTATCTTGTAACGAAATAACGACAACTTGCGAGCCATCTATGCGCGTTCAGTAACTGTTCACTGCAATCTACTTCTGTTACCGCTACATAATAATAACGGTAACACAGTCGTCGCCAAACTGGTTACATATTTTTGAAGAAAACCTTTCTTCAAAACAATCAGTACAAATTTAAATTCTTTTAGTCAAAAAGATGTTACTACATTGACCACAACTATCAACAAAAATCTAGGGTCGAAATAAATAGGTAAGGAACAACGTATACACATGTAATAACTATCAAGACAAATTGTTTATTAATTCATCGAAATAAAAAATTCAATTATTTATAATTAAGTCAGCTGAATTATTTAAAGTAAGACATCTTACTTTATAGTATTTCCCACAAATAGTGAGAGCTGACAAAAAAATAAAAAATAAATAAAAGAGGATTATATACAGATCTAAAGAAACAACCCTACTATTTTGTATTAAAGTTTATTTTTACATTATATTAGCCTAAAAGTCCATAATTCTAAGCCTGATAATCAAATAACAGCTATTTGAGAACTTAATACTGAGTAAGGTCAGGAAATTAAAAATAATCATGATTCACTTCATAAACTATGTCAACTACTGATCTCATTCACCTAGCGTCTACATGAGGGATTCTTACAGAAATATCCTAAGTTGTACTTATTTCGTAAAAAAAACGTAAAATAATTCTCATTTTTACATTACTATATATCCTTAAAAGTATGTCACGATAAGTACCTAGGTACTACAATAAATAGAAGACCATCTTACAATTCAGTACACATATAAAAAGTTACTAAATATTCTTCTAACAGATTTAAGAGTCAAGAGCTTCAGCTATAATTCTATAGGTTTTCCTGACGCCTTCTCCTAGGTGGTCTCGCGGGTGGACCATGAGGTGTGTATCTAGTGCTCCGGAGCGTACTGCCTACACTAGCGGTAAACACTGCTTTACTAGTGTACTTAGCACGAAACCTAGAGATTGAAAAAACCTTAATGAGACAAACAGTAAAAACACAACTATCAATAAGAAGCTACCTTCATAGCATTAATCATCGGAACTATCAGCAGTAACTATTTACTAAACATCTGCAACTATCATTTCCTAACTTAATTAATGCTATGTAGTGCTCAGAAATAAACCTAAAGGTAATTAATTAAGAATTTAGTGAATAATTCATCCAACTTCCTATAGGTGTTAAGTGAGAAATTGGTTGTATGTGAAAATTCTGTGAAAGTGATTTATCTAGTGGAATGTTTACTTACATAGCTTAGAAACGACCTCCTCGACCCTGGCCTCCTCCATAGTTACCGCCGCCGCCGCTGCCATAGCCACCACCGCCGCCGCCGCCACCCTGGTTCATGTTGTAGGGAGCGGCGCGGTTGTTGCCACCATATTGTTGGTTCCTAGTGGGTCCACCACTGTATGTCTGTTGGCTGTAGTTGCCAAAGTCTTGGTTCCCCCAACCCCCGCGGCCATTACCACCGCCTCCGTAACCGCCGCCACCGCCACCACCCTGGTTGCCACCCCAACCACCTCCTTGGTTGTTATCCCAAGGATTGGAATTGTTCCATCCTCCTTGGTTGCCACCACCATAGCCTCCTGAAAATTAAAATACCATGAATTAAATCCTCCTCATTTAAAATCATGTACTTGAAGGAGACATTTCTATCTTTTAAACAAGAACATACCTCCATTGCCCCAGTTATCATTACGACCTCCTGGACCCTGTCTACCACCCCCGCGTTGGTCAGCACCATCTTTTGGCAGAGCTTTCTTGACATCCAATTGTTTACCATTTATTTTGTGTGGGCCATTCACTGTCGACAAAATAAATCATAAGTAAAAAAATTCATTTGATGTCCTATTATAAAAACATAGGGATAAATAAATGTATATTGATTTGCGTACCATAATCAACCATAAAGATGTAGTTAGGTATAGCTTGAATCAATAATTAATATCCACAATCAGAGAAGCCAGAATCTGACACTCTAGTTCAGGTCTGGGGCAAAATTGTGGGAAAAATTATTAAAATTAGAATATGAATAGACTTACAGCAGACTTTATCAACGGGATCATAATCATCAAATTCCACAAATCCAAAGCCACGCTTCTTTCCTGTACTCTTGTCAGTTACAATGCTGACATTCTGGACATTTCCATAGCTGGAAAAGTACTCCCTAAGTTGTTCCTCATCATGATCATCTTTAATACCACCAATAAACAATTTCTTCACGGTGGCACCAGCCTCAGGGTTTTTTATATCTTGTCGAGCTACAGCACGCTTGGTTTCCACAACACTGCCAAAATAAAAGTGTTATTAAAGATAAATGAATACGCAATTGTTCCCTGTGAAATATCTCTATGGAATTTAAGTCAATGTTGACCCCACAGAAAATGCCATGTGTAGAAACTTGCACGCGACATTCACCAAGCAGAGTCGTACATGATCTCTGCAGCGAAAAACGATACGAAAGAGAAGTTTCAAGCTTTCATATAGCTGGGCTGCAGTACAATAAGAATAATTACATTAAAAATTTAACTTACCGGGCATCAATACGATGCGGTCTGTTGTTTTGCGCATCGTCAACCATGTGTGCTTTGGAATAGGTGATAAAACCAAACCCACGCGACCTCTTCGTTTTCGGATCTTTCATAACGACGACATCAACTATTTCACCCCATTTTTCAAAATGAGACTTGAGTGACTCATCAGTGGTTCTATAGTTCAATCCACCGATGAATATTTTACGGTGCACCTCGGGCTCATCCTGAAAGTAGGACGCGGCGTTAACAAAATGGCGGATAGCGTTACTTCGACGTTGATGATAAAGGAATTTAATTTTTAGAGAAACATATCACAGCGCTCCATAAAACATAGGATACATTATATAACAACGAGTATCATAAAATACCACGTTAAGCAACGCATAAATCAAATTAGTTATAATACATGACACGTTGAACCTATCCTCAATAAAAATCAATAAAATATACTTACAAAGCCATCATCTCCTCCGTTCTGTTGCGGCCTCATATTGATCGCAACGTTATTATGTTATAAACACAAAACAAATTACTATTACACTAATTCCAAAGTAAAGACTTTCGACGCGAACTCAGCCGGCAACGCAAAGCACTACCGTTCTCTACCGAAGCCACGCCAAAAAGAAGGAAGTGGAAGCAACGACAAGGCCTGGTTGAATTAATTGCCAGTAGTGTTGCCATAGCCAATAGTTATTGTTGATGACGTGAAACCGTAGCGTCATATCACTGTTTGAATAAAAGTATTTTAAGACTTTAGGTGTGAAATGAATTTTATCTTTAAGGTAATTTACTATGACTAGTATTGACTAGTCACTAGTATGTGCACGCTCCTTAACTCACATTAAGGTATTGTCCCTGAGTGTCACTAAGCTTACGCATTGGGTAACTGCAAGAATGGCTTAGATTGTACTTACATAATAAACAAATAAATTGGTTAAAGCAGAGTAACCGTATCCTGATGTCGTACAACACAAAAGAGAATACGAGACAGATTTTTATTTTAAAATTCAGCATATTACTACTTCAGACGATATATAATATGTGCCTTTTCATTTGATCATTTCGGACTAGTACATGTGAAAAAGTCCGGGACATTAGACACATGTGAACCTGCAAGGTATGAACCCAAGGGAAAACCACGGGTTTTCTGAGTTCACACCAGCCACCTTTTTAGTTTGCCCTTGCGCTTTGTTAATGATCATAACTACAGTACGGCCGACGTATCTTGGCGAGTCTGAAGTTAGCCGTTTGTCTGCTCAATGGATCTTTTAGGAACAAAATTGTGTACTGCGCAGCACAATTTTGTTCCTAAAAGATCCATTGAGCAGACAAACGGCTAACTTCAGACTCTCCAAGATACGTTGACGGTATTTCTTCTAATTTTAATATCATTGTTTCGCAACCTTCCCAGAAATAGTGCGTTCACTACCTAAGGATCATTCGTATGGCATAAATGACCATAATGAGTGATGATCAATGTAGCTTAATGCATAAGCTGCTTTTTGCCCTGGTACTGAGTAATACAGCTAGGCACCTCATAAGGACACTGTTCGTCTGTACTTAGGAACACTCTGTCCTCCGGAACTTGACGCCCCAGGTACCTATTTGCTAATTTTGTGATGGGGATGGTACGGTTCTGTATCGACTATAAAATAATTATCTCAATACACGCAGTAAAATTTCATACCAACACTTAGTTTTTACTAGAGACCTCCTGGCTTCGCACGGGTGCAATGCTGATACTAAAATTTTCCACTATTTTATCGATGTTATAATTTTAAATACATTCATGAATGTAGCGTGGACCACCTGTAAAAGGATAGACTTTTTATGTAGGGTGGTTTTTTATTATTATTATTTAATATATATTATTTAGGTAACGATAATAACGTTATTAAAAATACCTACATCATGTTTATTTCAATGGTGCTTAGCATATAAACTATCTTTAGCAGACTGAAATCTGTCACATTCTGCCAACTGATGAGAAACATTCTTTACCCGATAGGGTAAAGTAACTAAACGACCCACACTCACACTCTTAGAATAATAATTACACCCACTGAGCAAATAATCACTACGTTAAAATTACACAGCCATGCAGCAAGATACTGATCGCAATGGTGCACGCATATATACAGATTTTTATTGAATGGGTAATAATGTAAACTTTTTGAAATTAGAGATTAGTGATAATATTATAAACGTGAAGTGAAATGTTAGGAAAACGGAAGTTACTTAATTCTTTAAACTTCCATCGCGTGTGCAGCCTTTATGGTTAAAGTTACCTACATAGAAATCATGTATCACGGAAACGTTCTACATAATAATTATGTACAAAATATTTCACAACAGCATACCTATGTCTATGTCTATCTTTTATGGTTGACTCAGAATAACACGTGTAACTCCTATAAACTCCTAAGATATCATTAGCAATACAGATACGTACGTAGTTTTACAGATTGTATTTTTGGCATCAGTATCTATCACTAATCGCCCTCTGATAGTTATTTGATAATATATATATTACCTATGTACAAAATTGATTTATTATAAGTATACCTATAAATATATATTATGTAGACAATGTTTTCAAGTCAAGTATACCTAGTATATTGGTCGCCTGACGGAATAACTGTAAAGCACACCATTAAAATTGAATAAATCTTGCTATGGTTCCTGCCGGGGACATTTTAAGTTTAAGGCTTATAAAACTGCATTAAGCGGATCCTTGCGACGAGGACCGTCGCGTACACACGGAGCTCACCTGCGTGTCCCCGCGCCTAGATACGCGACGATTGTCCGTCGTCCTTAACGCAGTTTCAGGCCTTTTACCAATATGACAATTCTGTGAAATGTGACTGAATTGCTGGTGTGAAAATTAGAAGAACAACATTTGTCTGTTACATTTGTCTATGGTAAATGACGTGACGTTTTCTCATTTTGATTTGACATTTGACAATTTTCTTCATCATCATTCAGTTTTTTTAATTCAATTGTCAATTTAGTTTTGTTTGGTGCATTTTGATTCTGCGGTATCGTAAAATTCTGCAATTACATAAAATTGCATGATAATCACGTTTTAAAAGTATTTACTTAATATTTAGCTTCATTTTTATTAAGAATTGCTGAATTTACGATCGCAGCAGAAGTCATGAAACCAAGTGGCGGCGGTGGTGACGACTACGTAATTTACAACTTTGAATTAAATATTTTTTATGTTTAGAAACTTTATAAAAATAAGTCATGCGTTTCTTTGAGTTTTGAATCTTATTCAAAAATAAGATTCATTTATATAGACGTGCATTATAAAATAATATTGCATTTTTTTATGTAAACGTTTAATTGTTTTTTTTTGTTTATCAAGGATTCAGTTATCTTAGTTTGCATGGTACATACCATAAAATTTTCGTGATTAAATTGGCATTGTACTTATCGTTTTTTTAACAAAGTCCTCATGTGGTTTGGAACTAAAGTCAAGTTACAATTTAAATTTCAGGAGGAGCCGGAGCACCTACGAAAGTTATTCATTGGAGGCCTTGACTTCAGAACTAACGATGCATCTTTGAAAGAGTTCTATGAGCAATGGGGTGAAATCGTTGATGTAGTTGTTATGAAGGATCCCCAGACGAAACGGTCAAGGGGTTTTGGTTTTATTACTTATTCCCGGGCACACATGGTTGATGATGCGCAAAAAAATAGACCACATAAAATAGATGGACGGTAATCAATTTTGCTCTCCTGGGTCAATAATGGTTCTCTGTTAGATGAATATTAATTTTAAATTAAACTTCTTTCTTTTAGAGTGGTAGAACCAAAGAGAGCTGTGCCTAGAGAAGAAATCAAGAGGCCAGATGCTGCAGCAACTGTTAAAAAACTGTTTGTTGGAGGACTGAAACAAGACATTGAAGAGGAAGACTTAAAAGAGTATTTTAGTTCTTATGGAAACATAGTTTCTGTGAGTTTAGTGACCGAAAAGGATACAGGGAAAAAGAGGGGTTTCGGATTTGTGGAATTTGATGACTATGATCCAGTAGATAGAATATGCTGTGAGTTTTATATACACATTAACAAAATATCATATTTTTTTGATTGATCATGATCATATAAGTGTAATATAAGTGTCCAGTGCTGAGCAAAGCCCTTTTCCCACATGAATTTATGAACATTAAGCACAAGACAGATTGCTTGCTGAAGATAGATAGTTGATTCCTAACATATGAAAGAGATTATGATTTTCTTGATTATTCATGTTGATTTGTAGTGCATCCAAACCATAAAGTAAAAGGTCATCGCTTGGATGTGAAGAAAGCCTTGTCGAAGTCCGAGATGGCAGCTGCCGGGCCTGGTGGTGGTAGCAGCGGAGGTGGTGGTGGCCGTAGGGGAGGAGGACGAGGTGGTGGCGGCGGCGGATGGGGAAACAGGCAGAACCAGGACTGGGGTAACTCGGGTAAGTTTGAATCAATTAATGCATTAGTGTATTTCAGAACCTCATTTTTAATCTTTGATGAAAGTTCAATTCAAAATGAAATGAAGAGGCTTTAACCTTTTGTTCTCAGTAGATGCAACCGATTTAAACATCTTTTTAAAATTTCGTTTACCCATTCTAGAGAAAAACTCCACTGCCAGTGGGAGTGTGACTCTTACTGATTGTTCCATCTCCTCTGAGCTGGGGTCGCGGTATACTATTCTGCTTGCACCCGCAACCTTGATAGTCACTTAACCTGATAGGTCAATGTGCTTAAAATGATCATCCTACCTGTACAAACACTTTTAAGGTAGATTAAAAGACTAAGTATACTTAACAAAACTTTATTAACCAGATGGAGGCTATAATTCTGGTTACGGACAAGGAGGATGGGGTAACCAGAATCCTTGGGACTCAAACAATGCTGGAGGCAATTGGGGAAACCAAGGTTATGGAGACCAAGGAGGTTGGAACCAGCCTAACAGTAACTTTGGTACAGGATATCAACAGGGTTATGGTGGTGGCCCCATGAGGCCAAACTACAACACATCCAGACCACAGCCATATAATAACTCAGGTGCGTATTGATAAGTTTCTTGGTAGTAATAAGTCTCATTTTAGTTTTATGTTAGAAAGCTTCCTTTTCTTTTTTCATTCGTATTCCAAAATTTAGCGACTTCTGAATACAAGATCTTGTTAACTCATTTTTGGTATGCCATTAATATTTTGAGAAGCCGATGGTTTCGAAGGTGGCGGCGGTGGATACGGTACTGGTGGAGGCAACGGTGGCGTGGGTAGTGGCGGTCCAGCCTACAACAACATGGGCGGCAACCAAGCCCAGGCCGCAAACCAACGCCGGTTCTAAACATCGACGTCCTCTTGTGAGTAGAATCTTATACAAACATCTTTAATATCAAACCAGAAATTCATTTTCATACACCAATACAAAACCCTTTTTTCCAAATTGTTTTGGCATTAATTAAATCTTTAGGGTCTCCTGTAAGTCATGTGTGCTTCGCATGACTACTGCGCGCATCTACGCTTCGTAATCGTTTCATTATATGTAATTTTAGCTTCATCCGACATGCAAAACATGCGTGACTTGTTAAGACCCTCTTGGGTGTCCACATATTAATCGTCGCGTAGTTGCCTAGTCTTATTTTCCTCAGACTACTGGCGTTACTGGGAAAGGTTTAATTATACTAATATATCGCCCTGAAGCGATGCGGCGATTAGTTCGGGGACACTTTTATCCAAAATTCGTAAGAACTTTTTTGAATAATTGATTTGATATTTTTTTACCCCACATAAATGACGCACATACATTATCTTCTGTAATGGTATGTCAACAAGTCTCATGGTTTTATCATTTTGATTGTGAATGGTGTGTACTTACGAAGTTATTTTTTAACACGTAGGTCTCAAGTTGCGCTTAGTTGAAGCTAGGCAGGCAGACGGTAGAGTAGTGACGGGAGGTAGGCCAGGAGGTCAGCTAGCTAGTGAGGGACAAGCGGACTTAGTGAAGCGACTGCATTACATAGTCATTTTACATTTTATTTGCTCCTTCAATTAAGGTTTGTTCACGATAAGGTATTAGATTCATTTTACCTATTAATTGTGAGTCGTTTATCCACGCAATCACAGTTTTTACATTTCAATTGACACTTTTTATTACTTTCTGCACAGCTCTGTGTTAATCAGGTGCCTTTATAAATTAATTAAACTCTGTCCACGTCCAATCGGATGATACTGTAAAAGCTGTGGCATAAGATTTATATTTGCGTTATTAGTCATTAAGTGAGGAGATTTATATTATTTCTGTTAATAATTTAATGTAGATTATATTTTTATTTTTCAACATTAACGTCCATGTTTAGATAGAGATAGCTATAACATTCCAAAGTAATGATGTATTTACTGAATGCAGAAATAAGTTACAGTATAATTTTTAACGAATTAAAATATGTCCAAGGTATCTTGGATTTAGGATATAGGAAAAATAAGAGATGATGGAATTCGTGAAAAGAAAACATTTATAAAATGTTTGTGAATGCATTCTATGTAACATAGAATAAAAAAAAAACAATGAAAAGGAGTTTGATTTTGCAAAATGAAGTATAATATTATAGGTATTCTATCTAATACAAGTGTATGAAAATTTGTTAACATTATAAATATTATAATCTTTTGTATGTCTTCAAGATATATTTTATCTTCCTTAAGTTAAGTTGTTATAATGTAGAGTTATAATTGTTTTTATTTGTGTGCATACAATTAAATAAATGCTATTTTCCATGGATTGTTCTACACGTGCGCGAGCCTTCCACCGTGGAATAGGCCATGGTAAGTTGACTCTTATACAATAAAACCACAAAAAATCTGACACCATGTTTTATTTTAACATCCTCATTCCATAAACATGTTCTATAAGAATACCTACTAGATAGAATATGTACACTACAATAATAGCTTAATTAATAAGAATTAAAATGTTCTAATAATTAGGAACGATTTTACAATGTTTTTACTTATTTCGTAGTTTTTCTAGTTTTATTATTATTACCTACTTAGTTATCCTCAATCAGACTGTTTTAAATAATTTAAGAATGTCAAGAAAGAAAACGAGTTAAAATTAATTTAGCTTAGCGTAAATTTATAGTTACAAACAAAATATAAATATTTTTGGTATTTGTTGTAAGTTCTTATCAAAGTATTCGAAGGTAAATAACAATATTATGTAAATGACCTTTAAGCAGGTCGTTCACATACAATTGCTCGTTAAATCTATTGGGCCGTGGCCAGATACGGTATACAGTTATACCTAAGCAGGTAGTAACTGTTGTTTTGCGAATTTAACTTTTTAAAGGTAAATCTGTGATGACTTCGTTTTTTATCATTTATCGGCCGTTGAGCCTTGGATCGACTATAAAGTTTTAAAGATACCGGTATTTATGTTGACATAGGTACCAGTTATGGCAGATTAAATTAAATATTATTTTAATGAAATATGTTCTTTTGGTCAATAAACGTTTTGCCTTTTAATCTTATTTGGTTAGTTGTTAAACGCTTCTGTTCTATAAATACTTCATTTATCGTTTATTGTCGGTGGGTGCTGGACAGGAAGGCAGGGACAAGTGGGCGGTGCGCAGTACGCAGGGGACAGCACACTCGGGAACAATCCAGATGCTGCTGCTAAGTGCCTGTAAAAAGCATAAGCAATTATTATTGTAATAACTCCTTTAAGTCTCTTACCTATATTTGTACTTCTTTTTTAGTTGTTATTGAGCGAAACTATAAACAACCAGGCTATAGACGACTCGGTCGGTATTATATTGTGACAGAAAACTCTTTGACATCATGACGTCAATGGATGGTTGTCAAACGTTGCCTAGAGATTGTAAATTTCGTCGTGAATTGTTAACACGAGTTGGTGTAATCGGTAAGGCGTGTGGATTACACCACAGAGACCCCGAGTTCGAGTCCCGCCGTAAACATGAAGTTTTTTAGTTGATGGAAGTTTTGTCGAACTTTCTGGAATATTTGAGTGAAAGTAATGAAAAATTAAGGAGCGAGAAGGAGAATAAATAAAAATGAATAACGAAATTATTGGAAGGTTCTGGAGGCATGACGATCAAAAAAGAATAACGAAATTGAATGTTCTAGAACCTGACCGGGGGTATATAAGCGGAACTGCGGCTCACCGCTGGCAGTTGAGTTCTAAGTCCAAAGCGATTCGGAAGAAAAGGAAGAAGTGAAAAGAAGAAAAGTGAGTGAAATAGTGAAGTACAGTGAAATAGTGAAGTGCAATAGAAAGTCTGAAAACCGGTATTAGTGTTTAATTTCATCCAATCCCGTAACCCAAGCCCGCATAGTTAGGAACGTGACGTCAGGCACGTAACATTTGGTGTCAGAAGTGGGATTGGAGAAAAATGCCGCTAGTGCCGCAGGACGTAAGAGGAGTGAGTACCCGTGCTATGTCAGAAGCGCAGCGTGTGAGAGAAGAGGGTGCTGCAGCTCAAACCAGCGATGCAGAAGCCAAGCCTGTGCAGGTGGATCTTCTGCTACAGCTGCAGCAAATGATGGCAGAACAGCTGCGGGAGCTGAAAGAAGATCAAGCGCGCCGCCAAGAAGAGCAAGCACGCTGTCAGGCAGAACAGCTGCGGGAGCTGAAAGAAGATCAAGCGCGCCGCCAAGAAGAGCAAGCGCGCCGCCAAGAAGAGCAAGCGCGCCGCCAAGAAGAGCAAGCGCGCCGCCAAGAAGAGCAAGCACGCTGTCAGTCAGGACAGCTGCGGGAGCTGAAAGAACATCAAGCTCGTCGCCAAGAGGAGCAAGTGCGTCGCTTGGAAGACATGCATAAAGATTTCACGAAGGGACTGCAAAAGGCTGTCAAACGGGTACAAGAAGTGGAGGAAGGTTTAGGCAAGTTGGAACATCGCGTCATGGCGATAGAGGAGAGATTGGAAGAAGAGATCTCCAAAATCAAGCAGGAAGTGACAAACCCAAGCCCTTTAAAGAGCCGAAGCCGTCTTGCAGCCGTTTTTGACGCCCCAAATGCGGCCTTAAGCGCAACGAAAGGGCTCAAGATTCCCCATTACGACGGAACAACATCCTGGACCGCGTTCAAGCTACAGTTTGAGACACTTATGGAGGCTTATGGTTGGACTCAGAAGGAAGCACAGTCAGCCCTCACCCTGGCCCTCCGTGATCAAGCGCTCTCAGTGCTGGAAGCTATCGGCGCAAGTGGAGATCTCAGCTTTAGTGCCCTCCTCGACGCACTTGAGGCACGTTTTGGAGACAGCCACCTCGAGCACGTGTACAGAGCGCAATTAAAAGAGCGTACTCAGCGTGATAATGAGAGTCTACAGCAATGGTCCGTGGAAATCGAGAAACTTGTGCGTCGAGCTTTCCGGTCGACTCCGTCAATGATTGAAGGCACGCTTCTCCAAGCGTTCATTGACGGTATTCGGGACCCCGAAGTACGAGCTGCTGTTCATCTGGGCCATAACAAGAACATGAAAGAAGCTCTGGCCCATGCATTGGAAGTGGAAGCCGTGCGTGGCAACTCCCGTACCTTACGTCTGCGGGAAATGACGACAACGGAGCAGGTACCTCCACGCCGTCGGAACTTCATGTGCTATGGATGTGGAGAGCGTGGGCACATACGGAGCGACTGCCCGAAGAAGATGAACCGCAAGGACGCGGCGGTCTCAACTTCTGACCAGCAGGGAAACTTAAATCCAGCCAAGGCTGCGGGGTGGGCGCTGGCTGGTAGTGGAATAACCCCAACAATCTACATCAAGCAAACTAACGATGGAAATACCCTGGTGATAGACGGTCAAGTAAATGGGAAAAACAGTCAGCTAACATTAGATACTGGAGCTTCAAGGACGGTGATAAATGTTCGGCTGCTCGAGCAAAACATCAGGAAACACCTTAAACCAGTTGTTGGCCTACAAATGAAATCAGCTACCGGCCAGTGCATACCGATAAGTGGAAAACTGCATGTAACAATCAAAATTGGGGAACGTGTTTATCGACATGAGGTTATTGTGGCCAGAATTCTGGATGACTGCATCCTGGGACTTGACTTCCTGCAAGGGCACCAGTGTAACATCGACTTAAAATCTGGAGTATTACTATGTGGAACTGAGGAAATTCCGATGAAGGGTGGAACCCTGGGAAAAGTTTGCTGTTTAAGAAGAACTGTTCTTGCACCAAAATCACAGACTCTCGTACCAATCGCATTACCTAGGAGGAGGGAAGGAAGTTTACCTCGAAGGTGCGCTGTGATTGATAAATCGGAACACGTGAATTCATGGCTACCGGCAAGAACTGTCGTGGGGTCATCTGATGTTAACCGCATTCCGGTATTCAACTTCAGTGATTCAGAAATTACGATTGAAGAAGGAGAGCCTGTGGGCGTATTGGAAGAAGTGGCCTGGATAAGAAAATGCTCGGAAAATCTTGTGAAGAAGGACAGTACGGGAATAGACTTTGTAACGAAAATCTTAGACGAAAACAAAAGTCTGACAAAAGTGGAGACTATGAAAGCTAGAAATTTACTTCTTCGATTCTCTGATGTGTTTTCAAGAAGCGATGGTGATATTGGCCGAACTGGTTTGGTGAAGCATAAAATAAACACAGGTGATACAATGCCAATTCGTCAAAGGCCCAGACGTATACCATTCGCTCGTGAGAAAGAAGTTGAAGAAATGATTGACGATATGAGGAAAAATGACGTGATAGAGCCCTCTTCTAGCCCTTGGTGTTCACCTGTCGTGCTTGTCAAGAAGAAAGATGGTTCAACGAGGTTTTGCGTAGACTATCGACGATTGAATGATGTAACCAAGAAGGATAGCTACCCGTTACCAAGAATCGATGACACACTTGACACACTGAGTGGCATGAAATGGTTTTCAACGCTCGATCTGAAAAGCGGCTATTGGCAGGTGGATTTGGATCCCAAGGACAAGGAAAAGACCGCATTCTCAACTGGGAAGGGACTCTGGCAATTTAAGGTGATGCCATTTGGATTATGCAATGCACCGGCAACCTTTGAGCGTTTGATGGAACAGGTGCTGGCGGGACTGCTGGGCGAAACTTGCCTAGTTTACCTCGATGACATCATCATTGTTGGACGGGATTTTGACGATCATCTAAGGAAATTGGAAAAGGTACTCGATAAGCTGCGTGGAGCAAATTTAAAGTTGAGTCCAAAGAAATGCTCTTTCTTCAAGCGCGAAGTGAATTATCTAGGACATGTTATTTCTGAGAGAGGAATTGAGACTGATCCAGCCAAGACTGCCGCTGTTAAGGAATGGCCGACACCTAAAGACAAAACGCAAGTTCGGGCATTTCTTGGATTGTGCTCGTATTATCGGCGGTTTGTGAAAGGATTCTCGGACATTGCCAAGCCTTTGCATCGATTGACAGAGGAGAAACGTGCCTTTATCTGGGACGAGGATTGTGAGCAAGCCTTTCGAGAACTAAAAGAACGGCTTTGTAACACACCAATTCTCGGATACCCCAGCGCGAAAGGAATATTCGTAGTTGATACGGATGCCAGCAATATTGGAATAGGAGGTGTCCTTTCACAACGCGATGGTGAGCAGGAGAAGGTTATTGCTTACTTCAGCAAGTCACTATCCAAGCCGGAGAAGAATTATTGCGTGACCAGGAGGGAATTGCTGGCCGTAGTCAAAACTCTGCACCATTTCAAGAAGTATTTACTGGGACGGAAATTTTTGATCAGAACTGATCACGCTGCTTTGAAATGGCTACTTCAGTTTAAGGATCCCGAAGGCCAAGTAGCCAGATGGTTGGAACAACTTCAGGAATTTGACTTTGAAATCGAACATCGCGGCGGAAGAATTCATGGCAACG